AAATCTCTTCGTGGTTTCTTTTCTGCCTTCACCCTCAGCTTGTTCAACTGTTTCTTCCTCTCATATGCAAGCTGGGCCCTCTCCTTGCTCTTGTTCTCAAGCTCCTGCACAGCCACAGATGAATATTTAATAGGAGCAATATTTAATAGGAGCAATATTTAAAAGGCAAATAATTTCAGATAATCAGATAATTTCCAAAAACAATAATTTCAGTTCAAATTGTTGATAGGATATTTCCCTTTTGCATTAAGATCTGCTTCATAGTGAATTGGGGGTTTACACGATTGTTCCTTTTTGGAATCTGATATGTAGGCTCTGCACCTTCTGAAATGCAATCAGTTATTTCATTAATGTTATTAGTTTCAGGTAGAGAAGTTACCTGAATGACGTCCTCAGCAGGTGATCGGTGCATAATTACATATCATTTTGTATCCTTCTAACTTATGATTTGGTTATGTTTTTAAGTTAAACTTGTGCTTTTAATAAGTTTTGTGTTTGTTTCAGTGTATTAAGCTTGAGACTCATTAAATGCATTTTGGAGACAAGTTAGCTCAATGGTGTTTGCAGATCAGTCAATTTCACGGATTGGACTGTACTTGCTCAAAAAGAACCAGATAACGAGCCATACATCATTGAAAAGATGCGGAATTCAAGTTTCTAGAGAATTTTACGGTTCATGATTCCAAGTCTCCTAGAGAAAGTTATACAAGTTTTGGCAACTTAAGGTCAAATTCGGCAGCATCTGCGTTACTGGGCCAAATATCACATTTGAAGGGCTTTCCGATTTTTCCTTGAGCTGGGCTGCATATGCTTGGAAAGATAATTCAAAGAGCTTCAAGATCCAGATTTTTCCAGATTTGGGAGGAGCGAAGATCAAGCCCAAAACAAGCCCACAATCTGACTGCAATGAAGTCAATTCCAGTCTATTTTCGGCAGTCAACTTGCAAGGCCCAAAACATACACTTTTACTGCTCATATGAGAATACATTCTTCATAAAGGTTGTTCCAATGGGTGTCTATTATGACATATCCAAATTTGAGCCCCATTGGATATATATTGAAACCTCAGGCCTTCCTACACCAAGCCTAGTTCAGAAGAATCGTTTTTTCCAGCAATCAAAAGAAAACCCACATGGGTTGGCAGCAAAAGGCAGCTACAATTGAACACATTTGAAATCCCATGTGAAGAAAGCTTGAGGTGCAGCAAAAGAAGTATGGGATGAAATTTATTCCAACCACACTAACATAGACAAAATGAAGTGGGAGTTATGGATTGTATTAAAGGAGGAATGGTGGTGTTGGAATTCATCATGATGTTCCTCCCTCTTAGCCCTATAAATAGAGAAGTCTTCAAGCTTCAAAACACACCCCAAGGGGGGAGCTCTCAAACACTTCTCTAGAGCTCCCTTCCCTTCTCTCCCTCAAATTCTCTTAGTTTCCTTTCAAGTTGTCAATTGTTGTAACAAAATGATTTTACTAAATTTTCCTTCAAGTTTTCAAGTTCTACTTTAATTTTATTTGTAATGTACATTCTTTCTTAAGTATTCAAGTTTAATTAGTTTCCAAGTTTCAATTATAGTTTTTGTTCTCATTCATTATGCTTATAAGTTAATATGCTAGTTTGAATGATTGATCACCATTTAGGCTTGCATGTTAGCTATCTTGGTTTGAATTAAGAGTAGACACCATGCTTTAATTCGAATTCACTACTACAAATATTCAAAAAGACAACGCTGAATACACAACGGTTGGCTTCAAAATCGTTGTAGTTAGTTCTTCCACAACGGTTATTACTTAACCGTTGTTAAAAGGGATTTTTAAGCGTTGTTGTTTAGGGTATGTGGTTTTTTTATTTTATTTCACAACTTTCCATAACGGTTTTCCTTTCAACCGTTGTAATTGACGCTTTAAAAAAAAATCACGGAGTGAACAGTGACTCAATATTTTTTCTTATGCCCCGATAGTTCTCATTTTCTCTTCTCTCTTCTATCTCTTGTCTCTCGCGTCTACCTCTCTCCACCTTCAGACCTCGTCGCCTCGCCTTCGCCACAACCATAGACAGAGAGACTCTGTCTCTCGTGTCTCCCTCTTTCACGCTTTCTCTCTCTCCTTCCTCTCCTGTCTCTCTCTCCTCCCTTCTTCTAGTTCAGAGGGTTTTGGGTTTTAATTTTAGGGTTACTGATTTGGGTTTTAATCTAACCATTTGTTTGTGTGCTTGTAAAGGTGATGGCGTCGAAACGGATCTTGAAGGAGCTGAAGGACCTTCAGAAAGATTACTTCATGCAGCGCTGGTATTTTCCATTTCCAAACCCGATCTGTTTCCTCTTCTTTTTCATTTTGATTTTGCTAAAGTTTTAATTTTGTGTTTTTGGGTAAGAATTGATGTAGGAGTTTGTTGATTGCCTCCTCTTTGGAGATTTGGCTCACGTGTACCATCTGATTTGAGCTTCCATCTCTTTTGACATCACAGGACTCAAGTTTTACCCGCAAATTTGCGGAGCTCTTCGGAAATCATAAAACTTCAAATCGAACCAAAATTGCTAGTGAGTCTGGGAGTCTTTGCTACGCGGAAGGATATAGATTTCAGGGCCATGGCTCTCAATCTGCGGCAAAGGCAAACAGGTAAATTGCTCTCTTGGCCATTTAGTTGCTCTAGATCTCTGTTTCAACCAAACCAAGGATGTAAAAATGAAAATACTGTGGAATTAATCGAGAACCCGTTTAGCTAATAGAGAAAACACAGGTAAATTTATAGTGGAATTACCATTGGAGTTGATTAAATTTGCTTACTTTGTTGTGGGTTTTTGTTATTGAATTTGATCTGTGGTTTTAGTTTGAGAGCTGTTTTTTTCTGCTTAGAAAAAGAGGAACTGAAATGTCATATGCTAAACGAAATTTTATTTGATTCGTCTGATTGGGTTTGCATATATTCGATTTAGTTTTCTGAATTTTTAGTAAAGTATTGAATTTTTATTTGATTCGTCTGATTGGCTAAAAACCGTTGTCTATTAACTTTATTGTAGTAGTGTTTCTTGGTCATATGTTATCACGTCATCATGAAACCTCCTTTCAATTGTTACTATGGACTGCTCTTGTTGGTTCTCTTATTGTTGAGTGATTTGACATGTATTCAACTTCTGTGTGCATTCCAATATGGTTAACGTGTGTTTCTCATTTAAGCTGATAATATTCATTTTTTAATCATGTTGGTGCAGCGATATTGCTGTCATTGCGCAAAGATAGAGACTCCCTAAAGAACTAGGAAGAAATCATTCTAGCATCAGATGGAGCAATGGTAGCAAGAGGAGATCTAGGTGTGCAGATACCACTAGAACAGGTCCCAGCAGCCCAGCACAGGATTGTTCAAGTTTGTCAGCGGCTAAATAAGCCAGTCATTGTGGCTTCTCAATCTCAACTACTCGAATCTATGATTGAATATCCTACACCAACTAGAGCTGAAGTGGCTGATGTTTCTGAAGCAGTGAGGCAGCGAGCTGATGCTTTGATGCTCTCTGGTGAGTCTGCTGTGGGCCAGTTCCCGGAGAAGTGTTAGTCTGAGGATTGAGAGATGGTGGAGGGAAGAGAAACATCATGAAGCTATGGAACTCCCAGGCGTTGGATCGTCATTTTCAGACAGTATTTCAGAGGAGATTTGCGTTTCTGCTGCCAAGATGGGTAAGCATTATTTGATTGATATCTGTCACTAGTTTTACTAAATACGTTTCCAAGTGAGGTAAGCTCAGCAATTATCCATGTGTTACGTAAAATGCATATAGCACATCTGCAGAGAGAGTCTTGATTCAGTATTCTGCTAGTATGGATTTTACACCAGGATGTACCATTTATACCAAGTACATACCATTTCCTCTAAATTGTGTTTTTTAAACAGCATTTCAGCTTCATCTATGTATTTGTACATTTTTTGTTCATTCATGTCTTGATTGATTCTTGTCCTCCTCTATAAGAACTTATGTTATGGTACATACTAGTTCGTTTCATGAGACTCTGAGTCCAGTAGTGCATGTACTTATGTTCTCGGATTTTTCTTAGCACTAGACGATCCATGTTTCAATATATATTAATATGCTTCAACTATAGTATCTGCTAAAGTCTAATGTTGTATCCATTTTGGAACTTATCTACAGGTGTATCAAGAAGCCTTTGGTCCTGCCTAATGATCTCCCCCAGTCGACATTGATATTCAGAACCTGAGCCTCATCCAAAACAAGAATTTTCCTTTTCTTTAAGAGCACTTGCACTAGGCAAACAAGCTGCCTCTGTCCAACATTCCAGTTTTCTCCATCTTCAGCAACTGTTTTGGTGGAAATATCAACCTTGTGGAATAATGCTCAACCTTGACCTTAAGTCCTGCAGACCTATCTTAGCAATATCAAGTTTTGAACATGATTACGTGGCAATCACTTTGATTGTCATTTTGTGAATGGTAGAATTTTCACATAGAATGTACAAAGTTTTAGATTCTGTGGTTGGTAGCTTTGGGATGTACGTACTAAATTCAAAGCTTTAGATTGCATGTAGACCTCAAATTGTTGTAATTGAACAGGTTCGAATACTTTTCATATTGAAATATGAATACATCATTGTTCTACCTATATTCGTTAATTTTGGAATGCAACAATATTAATTAATTTTTAAATCATATTCAATACTGAAGGAATATCATTAACTACAACGGTTACCCATTCAAACCATTGTAGAAATCCTCTTATTACAACGGTTAGAACCAACATCCATTGTATAATAAGAACATTTACAACGGTTATTCTGAAAATCGTTGTGAAAAGTTATCAATAACCGTTGTAGAAAGAACCATATTACAACTGTTATTGAACAAAACTGTTGTTGAAAGTGACTTACTACAACGGTTTTTCTCAATAACCATTGTTGAAAGGGCCATATTACAACGGTTGCTTTGTATACATGTTTTATTTGTGAGAATTTACAACGGTTTTTCTTAAAAACCGTTGTTGAAAGTGACATATTACAGCGGTTTTTGACCGTTGTCATAAATAGGTAGAAAAGACGACACTCTTAACCTCAACGGTTTTAGAACACTTTCAACAACGGCTAAAAACCGTTGTCTATTAACTTTATTGTAGTAGTGATTGAACTATGAATAGGAAGAGTATGTATGGACATTCGACAACAGGGATTAGATACATGCTTGGTTGTTTAAATTGTTCTTATATGCTTAATGGGTTCCTAATGCTTAATTTTAGGTTAGACAACAAATGATCAAATTAGGGAATTAGGAACACAAGGTTATGACCAAACACCATGGCTTAATCATACTTTAGCTAGAATCAATCCGTTAATCTAATTGAACTTGGGAACTTATTTGCTTGAGTTATTTCTTTTTTTCTTGTTTTATTTATTTTCTTTTTCATTTCTATTTTGTGTAGGGGAAACAAATTGGATCATTCAATCACCAAACCTCGTGGGATCGACCTCGCACTTACATATGCTATACTATCGAACGGCTCGTGCACTTGCCAGTATCACAAGTTGAGGATGCAGCTGAATCCATTTTGGTGCAGCTGAATCGACGCAACACCCATGCTTGGTCTTGTGAGCGAAATAAAGCAGAAAACGCAACTAAAAACATTTGCTTTCAGAAAGACAATTTTTTAGAATTTGATGAGACAGAGCCCTAATTGAAAACTGAGAGTCAAAAATCGGGTGAAAAAATCATATTTAAACAAATTATCGTAAATATCCACGTCGGTTCTACTATACATACCGACGTCATATTTGAATAATCAACGTCAGTTTAGATAAACAAGCGCCGTCATAACCACATCGGAATTCCAAAAGTCATTTGGCGTTAAAAAGAGCACGACGTCGTTTTCAGAACCCCAAAGTAACCACGTCGGTTTCTTAAAATAAACAGTCATTGAATTTAAAAGTACAACGTCAGTTTAGATAAACAAACGCCGTTATAACCACACCGGAATTCCAAAAGTCGTTTGGCTGTAGTGGTAACCACGTCGGTTATGTATTATTTACCGTCGATATAACTAAATACTAGGGCGGTTTTTAATAAAACCTTCGTAGTATTGAACTCTGGGAAAATATATAAACTTTTCGTCACCTGACCTAATGTTTTACGGTTTTCTCTTACCGATAAAATATCTCAGTTTCCCTCTCATTTCCCAAAAGCAGCATCATCGTCTGAATCTCGTCATCGTCTTCGTCTTCGTCTCCAAATCACCATTTTCTTACCTCGGAAGGAAACTTTCTTTTTACTCCAAAGGTTTTTTTCTCAATCTCTTCACTTTTTTTACATTTCATTTGAAAGCCGTCGTTGTCTGGAAACAAGATTCTGTTAAATTGAGGAAATGTTTCACTGGGTTTGATTAAATTCATAAGTCCATACGCTCACGACGGAAATAAGATTAAACCGTCGTCTGGTGGGAGAAGAACAGTCGTTTTGTGTTTGATGTAGTAAATTTTAAACCACGTCGGTTCTTAGGATGAGTAACAGACGTGGTGTATACATATTTACGTCATGAACTATATAAAACCGTCATCTTATACCCAAACATGGTCTGAGAGACTGTTTAATAGGACGTTGTTGTTTTAGTGTTACCGTCGTGGTGTTGTATTTATGACGACGGTGTTGTTTTACAACCGTCGTCCTACTGAGATATCACGGCTTTATTTTTAAGACGTCGTTTCTTTATTATTACGTCGTTTATTTTTAATAACCGACGTTGTTTTCCTTGCAGATTAATTAAAAATGGTTTCGAAATCTCAAAACAAGGAAGCTCAAGCGTCAGAGGCCAAATCAGTTTCAAAGGCACAAGGGGATGAAGCCAAATCAGTTTCAAAGGCTCAAGTGGAAGGAGAAAAATCAATTCAAAGCAAACCCTCGAAGAGGATGAGATTTTCCTCAACCTCCGAGAAAGACTCGAGCACAGCCACATTTGTTGAGGAGCCAAAATTCGGCCGCGGTATCAGCACAATGAGCCGTGTTGTGAAGAGGAAAATTCAGAAGATTAAGCCTGTGATTGAGTTCAATAAAAGGGGCAGACCACATGGCAAGGCTGCTAGTGAGATGCAGTCTTACATTGGTGTTTTGGCATGCACCAGAGTCCCTCTTGTGGACAAGAAATGGACTCAATTGCCCAAGGACGTGAAGGAGCAGATTTGGGAAGCTGTTCAAATG